TCTCCGTGCTTTCGTTTCCTGTCACAAATGTACCCAGAATGCATCGCTTCAGTTTCCCAATAAACAGTTTTAAAATTACTTTATTGATGCTTCTTTAATGAAAAATCTACAACAAACAAAAGAAAAAGACAAAGAAGCAGCCGAACTAGCAATCCTCAACAACTTTTTAAAGAATCAACCGAACTAGCAATCCTCAACAACTTTTTAATTTTTACACCAGGTGCTAAAGGTCTGTTTCAGGAAATCACATCCCCAGCAATCAGAGGTTGTAGGATTAAGATGTCCAAGGATTCATACACCGCTAGTTGGCAGTGTTGTACATATATTGTACAAGAATTGTTGCCAGCTAGTAAGTGTCAAAATGAAACTTGCACTTTAAAATTAGCTTCTGCTAGTTTTTTATAGCATAAGCTTGTTTGAAGTTGTGGAACTAAATATTTTCATAAGCGCTTTAGAAATTGCGGAGCTAATTTTGGATTAGCGCTGCCCACCACTGGTGACTGTTGTATTTATTTTAATAAAAAAGCTACTTTGGCTAAAAGTAGATATGTGATACGGATATAGAAACCAAAGGTTTATAGTAACTAAGTACATTTATTTTGTTGCAGTATTTACGTATTTTTTAATGTAATTTTAACAAATATTTTTTAATCAAAACTTTTACTTTTTTGTTACATTTGAAACCTAAAAATGATAGTTTTATTCTTTGCTTTTAAATGTAACACTAGTTAGACGTTACAATTAAATATGACCAAACTCATCATGAAGAGTTGTTTTACACACTCCCAAGAACTGAGACACAACTGTTGTAGCAATACTGTTTGAACTCTGTGTCTTCACCTCTGATAGAGACACAAAATAATCTATAGCAGGGCTATTCAACTGGTGGCCCGTGGGCCACATCCGGCCCGTTAGCAACCAAAGTTCGGCCTGCCAGTTGCTTCATTGATCTCTTCAGCCCAATCCCCCGGTTTTCTACTTTAATTACTGTAAGTCCTTTTAGTTAAACACAGACATGTTTTGGTATCTACATCAGTGTCAGAATCTTGGCTACAAGCTGATAAAAATAATTTCTATGATCATCCAAGACAGTTAAAATTACAAGCAGTTGAAGGTAGAAATATGAAAGTGAAAATAAAATAGGTTTAAAAATCAAGCAGGTCAGAGATGTCACAATATTATTTGTGTTAAATAGGAGGCAAAATGTGTTCTTTTTGTTTTTGTTTTATTATCACTTTTATAGGGTTCTGAATGTTGTTTTTATGATTAAATACAGCAAAATAAACAATTTCAAAGGTAACAAATCTTTGTAATACTTGGTTTATTTACATAATGACTGATGGATCTTCAGGCTTAAAGCTGTTGACCTGCAGTAACTGTGGCCCCCGAAGCAGTGGTGGTCAGACTGGGACCACTACTCACACAGGGGTGGTCAGACTGGGACCACTACTCACACAGGGGTGGTCA